GTGATCAATAGAACGATCGAATAAATTTAGTTTGGATTCCTTACTCGGGTCTTAGTCCAGAATATTTGTTCCAGACACTGTTGATTTTGATGTAGTGAGAAACCATGCTTGCTGATGTAGTTTCTGGGTCGAATGGATAGTTTATTAACGATGCAAACAAGACGGTACTGAACACTACATCGGTTATTCTCCATACTGCTGAATGTGAATGTGAATCCTCAACTAACATATAGGTTTATATATCCAGTGGAAGTCAGGAATCAAGCTGAATAACAATTTTAATATTTGACAGGAACGGCGATTTTCTTAAGATGAAGTCGACTAATCTTCTCAATAGATTATAAATTTGGGGAACAATATGCAATTTTACAATCAAACCATAATCTGGTGAAAACTTCATATCTCTTATGAAGTTTCTTCGTAAACAAAAATATAAATCATTTAACTGTCAGAATAATCTTGTAATTTTAAATAAGAAATATTTCTCACGAATTTAATACAATATTTTTTATTATGAATTGATTTCGGATTTTCGACAATCATACTTGATTTTCAAAATTTTAAACAAATTATAAAATTTAGGAGGAAAATGTAATAACTAAAGCGAATTCATCAAATATCGAAAAATTGACTTCCGTTCCAGTAATAGCATCCAGTCAGCATGATCATTTTTCGACTTACACTAGAAAGGTTGAATGGCCTAAAAAGTTCATAGAATCAATGCGTACATCAAATTCTGAAATAGAAGATCATACCATGAAAGCATATCATCCTATTTCTGACACTTTTGTTTACAAATTAAATAAACCAATGATACGACAAGAATCTTTGGACACTCTTTCCACAATTCATTCTAATATATCACCTCGCAACAATATAAGAATGCTTAATGAAAATTTCAACAAATATTTACATAAAAATGATGGAAATGAATACTGCATGATATTACCTGTTACGACAACATCGCAATGTTTTTCTCCTACGGAAAGAAGGTTTGTTATTTTTAAGATTCTCAATAAATTATTTACAGTCAGGATATTTCTATAAATATAATCAGATATGAAATAAAACAAAATTGATTAGTTAATGGAATACAAGTATAATTAATCAAAATTAAAGTATAAGTGAATTCAAAAATGAAAAAAAGAGTGGAATGCTAATGGTAAAAGACATATTGCACAGACAGTTAAGTCTGCTATTTTAATTACTTTTGGAATTTTATTTTTATGTTACAAGATTCCGTCTACACCCACATCGCATCCAACATGTTCACTGCACTTTATAATTGATTGAAGCAACGTCCGAAAATTGTCCATTATCCGATTTTAGTAAAGGAGAATATATATATATATAATCTTCTATTAGCTTTCCTTTTTATTCTGCTTAACATAAAGTTCTGTACATTTTGAGCAAATTATTTGTGGATATTACTCCCTTCTATTTTTTGAAGATAAACAGAGAAATTTGTATATTGTGTGGTTTAAAGAAATTCACCATTTTACACTGTTTCGTTTTCTATAAATGCTAAAGATTATTTTGTTGGTGAGAATTCAAATTTAGAATATGGAAATTACCACTGTATACCGGCTTCTTTCAAGTGTTGCTACACTTTTAACAGTATGAAAATGAAATTAAATATTGTAAGGGATTACCGTAAATATTTGATGTTTATTGGTAGAGAGATTGATGAGTCACAATTATCTTGTCTTTCCAATTAGCTTTTTACATTTAAGCTAAGAATTTAACAAAGTTTTTGATTTGGTCCATTTCATTTTAATGGATTCCATTTCATTATTTTTTAAAATTCATTTATATAGCTATATTTATCAACAAGATTCCATCCTAAAAGAGAATAGTTATTCAGTAGCACATGTTACTTGTGTAAAAAAAAATATTTATCAATGATAGAAAATATTCTATCATTGATATAATGGAAAATAGCAGTGACAGTGATAGTGATAGTAATAGTGATAGTGACAGTAATGGTTATAGTGATAGTGGTATTGATAGTAATGGTAGTATATGATTAATAATAATAGTGGTAGTAGTGATAGTATTTGGTAAAGCCATAGTATCGCATATCTCTAAGGCGTATAAAACTGCTGGTTATTGATCCATGATGGTTGTTATGTTATAGTGCAGTTAGCAGTAAATAGCACATTGAGAGAGAGAGAGAGAGGGATGGGTGTAGGAGAGATGTCAATGAGTTGTAGAATGGAATAGAGAGAGGAGTGTCCCGATAATGATGACGATGACGATGACAACGACACAGTATGATGCCATTTTTAGATAACTTTGAAATTGATTAACGCTTGACAACGCTCATCATCCCGCCATCTATCCTACATCTTCAAGTTTTGATTTATTGATTTCAAACCTTTCAAATGCTTTTTTCATCTCTCTCCCTCTCCCTCATAACCAGTCTATAACACCTTGACAGGATATCCGTAATAAATATTAAATAATACATTCATGCTAGCTTAAAAATATTCCATATAATAATTATGTTATCTGCTACCTTCTTATTCTTATCCTTTTCAAATCTCATTCCTCAAACAATACGTACTTCATATTTATATCCAATCGTTATCAATATTTCAATACATAATATTATGCTATTTACTTCATTACATACGTGTGTTGTATGTTTTAGGAGCGCGAAAAAAAAATTGTTCATGAAATGATCATATATGTGGTACCATTCACATTTCATTGCTGATTTTATTGATATTTATTACAATTAAAAGTTTTCTTTTGTTTCGTTATTTTTTTTTAATCTTACATTTTGTCAAATTAATTTCAAGTTGAATGATTGTTCTGATGAATACACGAAGAAAAATGCTAAATTGATGTATTTAAAATAGGTTGAGAAGCTGAATGTTAGCGAGCTTTTCTGATCATTCTTTCATATTAAAAAGGAATAATTTAAAGAAAAATAAAATATGCAATGAATATATTCAATCGTAGTAGTAAAGGAACCGCTGAATCAACAAATTAAACAAGCGACCACATCAGAACGATGGCTTATCTAGTAGAAATTCTATTTCAGCAGATGAAAATTGATGCGGCATCTCTTTAAACGTCAGCTGGGGCCAATTAATTTTAGCGCTATAACAGAGCCAAACTTTTTAGAAGCAATAAGAGAATCCATGGATTTGAAAATCCATGGATTTGAAAATCCATGGATTTGGAACTAACATGAATGACTTGCTTCAGCTAGAATCGCTTTATTTAGTATTTTTGAATTTCAAACACAAAAAGGAAAATTGCTTCCAACTAAATATATTCAAAATAATTAAACAGTTTTTTTAATAAACAGATGATTGTAAAAAAGATATTTAAGGACGAAAAAAAAACATTGATTTCTTAAAAACTATATAACATGTTGCGTTATTGGCTTTTTGTTATGCTTGTTTTAATATGATCGTTTTGCGGTAGGTATTTCTTTCGATATCTGTTAGGGTGATCGTTTGTCATCATTTCACAATTCTTTCTTTCCCTATACATTCTACTCTTCATTTAATTGATTTGTCACGCAGTAAGCTTCACCTTTCCATTATTTATTTCACCATTACCACATGCTATCATCAAAATGTGGTCATTGATCTTCGTTCCCTATGATTAACTCTTCTTTAAAATATTTTTGAAATGCTTTCTTTTTGCGTACACATCTCACTTTTTAAATTGTGGGAATGATAAACGTTTAAAAAAAAACAAAGTAACATCAATTATCAGCCGTTAATCCTTATAATTTTATCTCAGTTCCTAATGTCCTAATTGACCTTTTTGACAAGAGTAGCTAAATAAATTCATTTTTTTAGAATTCGACTCAGTTAGATATATAAAATACATTTTCGACAATATAATTATCTTAAATAGTATAGTAGAAAATGTAAGAATAAGTGTTATTGCTGCATAAACTCGAATTTTGTCCAGAATTTCCTCCGGCATACAGCTTTAGTCCTCTTCCGATATACTTGATGAATTTAACAAACCAGCTGTTCTCCACACTCTTCCACTTCCATTAGCTTGATACATATATTTTTCATAGAATTATTTCTCGTTACTTTTCACCAAATTATTCAATTAAAATAATTAAATTCAAAAGTATTCAGGAGAAAAAATTTCCCTTTCTTTTCTCGTAAAGAACTTCTTGCAGTCATTTCCAATGGAAATCACAATCTTAGAAATATATTTTTTAATAAACTAATGTTAGAATTCAATGAAAGAAGCATTGATATTATGTTGAGTATTAGCGTGAGGAACACGCAGGAAATTTTAGAATCATATGAATCTACTTCTTCGATTTCTTCACCAATTATTTTTTACATTTTAAAGTTATTGGAATCAGAAACTACAGTTGTCATACTACACTCAGAGCTTTTAATGACTGTCATTCGTATTTCCATGTTTTAATTTATATTAATTGGAATCAGTTCTTTTTCAGCTGCAAGATCATTGATTCAAATAACCTCTATATTGTTTTTAAATTTATAAAATGAAGTGAAAGTGATAGGAAAAAAATAGAAAAAACTATGTAAATTATTAGCTACTTTGCTCATGCATTAATTTTTGCTTGATCAGCTTTTTATATCCAGTAGAAACTTCATCTTTCTTGCTAAAATCATTAATTACCATTAATTTATTGTACCTGACAAACCAGTCTATATAACATGGTTTTATAAAATGAAACAAATGTATTGTTTATTTATGATTCTATTTCACTTATTCCTAAATCTCTCTGAGAAAGATTTTGTTACTTCTCCGCAATAATATGAACATTTTAGAAGGGAATAACGGATAGATGAGGAACAGAGGTCGATAAATATAAGCATGAGTCAGTGGTGGAATAATTGAACGTACTTATAAAATTGGCTTACGCATGAGGATATATATTATCGTTATTTTTATGTTTTTTCCTTCGATTATTTCTTCGTTAATTTTTTACTTTGCCAAAAAATTATCAAATCTCTGTCATGCATATATTAGTTGTTTTTAAGATGCATGATAGGTTAAGGGTAGTTTTTTTTTTTTGCAATATTGGAATATATTTTTCTTTGTTTTTTGAATGTGAGTTTCAAGTTTTTTTTTTTGTTTCTTTGCTTTATATTTCTCTCTGGTATATGATGCAGAAGGATGTTTAAAAATTTTTTTGCAGTAAAGAAAAATCTTAAACATCCTTTCATATCACATGTCAGAGAAAAGTGTAAAGCAAACAGTGAATTTAAGTACAATATCAATTTCAAGTTTATATAATGTTTAAAAACAGTCCTGAATAACCTAGAAAAATAATATTAATGCTTGCTAATACACTTTTGTTGCGGCTCAGAAATACTTGTAAATAATGCTTGTTGGTCCCGGTAAATATTCATTTCCTTCGAGAGTCTCCTGTGAAGTTTCTATCCGCTGAGACATTTTTTTTTTAAAAAATTGTACTTCGCTAGCAAGCAATTTATTGAATTTGGGCTTACGTTTGAATGTGAATATTTGCTTCTCAATAGCTATGTATCGTTCATTCTTTTCTTCCTCTATTTCCCTTTCCTGCTTCAGTAGCTCATATGTTAGCACAAACGTTCAAATAACCTTTCGAGATATGCATTAATAATCTTCCTATGTAGAGCAATTAATGTTTAGTTTCTCCTCAACACTTAGTATTCAAGTAATTCAAGAAAGGCTTGAGTGCTGAGCAGTTAGGAATTATCCCGTTCACCTTAATTTATTGTACTTTAAACGAACAATAATTTCAGATATCACAGAACCAAAGAGTCGACCGTGTCAGTTGTCGAAAAGGTCACTGCAGTAAGTCCATTACAGACGGTCGAACAGGTGGACACTACACTTAGCAGTGATCGTGTCAAATTGCAAACAGCTACTCGAGATTCTGTATTTCCTTTTCGTCATCCTCAGTATGGCGCATATAGCAGAAGTAGTGAAGGACACACGTCATCCTTGACATCACGGCCTGTTTTTGAAAAAGATTTTCCGATTGCATCGAAGGAACCGAAGATTGGTTCTAATGTTGTGTTGCATCGAGTTGATTCCGATTTCCGAACCAATTCAAAATTGGCGCTGAATTTACCAAATAAGAAGTGCAGTAAATTTGGCAAAAAGATCCCCGTAGACTCTCAACATTTTGTACCTGCCGAGAATCAAGAAATTTTGGGGAGATCGAAAAATAATACTGAGCACATTTTTCCTACCGATTGTTTCGGCAAAAAAACGAGAGCTGTTGAAAGTTTGATCATCAACTCTCAGTTAACTGATAACTGCGAACCGCGGCGTAAGTCATTATACACTCTTCCATTTGATAATAATATTGAAGTGTCAACTTCAGTCACTTATAAAATAATGCCAGCAGTTGAGCATGCTTCATCAGAATTATGCACAAGTAAGGATTCAGTGGGGAAATATATCAATAACGAAAACATGGCAACCAGTAATTGGGATCCAACACTTCTCTTAAATAAACTATACGAGGTGACGTTTAAAACATTGAAACTTTCATATGATTAGATTCATAATGAATCAAATAATTTCAAGCAAAAAGAATGATTTCTGGAATAAATCCAGTTATGCTGAACGAGGGTTATAAATTCAAGAGATTTCAAATTTTTGGCTTTGCAAAATTAATTGTTAGAAAGATTTCTGGTCAAAATTAATAAAACTTTAACGTTCTTTAATTAAAAATTCATTTCCATTGATTTAGAACTCAAAATTATTGAAATAATTAATGAGAATGAGAAACGTACCTTCAGTTTCCAAATCGGTTCACCAGTTATTTCATCACATCGATGACGGATTTAATGATATTTGTTAAATTTAATGAAATTGCAGGTCAGTTATGATCCACGTAAGGAATCAAAACTTAATCGTTTTACTAATATGGAAGGACATCTTGAAGTTCCCGTTGATGATGAAAGCATATACGCTGAGTTGCAAAAAAATTGGGTGCAAAAATATTTTCGGACTAGAGATGGACGTTTGCAGTGGTTTGCTGTGAGTTATTTGTTTCATTGCGTTTAGAAACGAGGTAGTAGTTAGATTATTCCAAACAAACACATATTGAATTGTTGTCCAGAAATTCCAGAAATTTTTCTGAAGTGCAATTTGTGCTATTTGTTGGGATTTTTATAGCATCTGAAAAGCAATTAAGCATTACAGCACCAAAAATTAATTCTTGTAATTTGTAACCTTTTTAAGTTCAATCCCGTCCTTAGTATAGGTAGTTAGGCAATGGAAATACTTACACTGTCATGAAGAATTATTCCTTCCTAACGCTGTACAGCCAAGAGTATTCTTCAGTTAGAGTTGCCCTTTTAATTAACAAAACTAAATAATGATGAAATAATGGTATTTCATCCTTTTCAGTCACATTTCGCAGATGATACGCCGGTCGGGGAAGTGCTGCTTTCTGGTTGTGAAGTAGATGCCAATAGGGATGAAAATGCACTTTATATACATGGAGGAAAGAGTCATATCAGAATGGTGTTGAGGTTAGTTTTATATCTGTCTACTTATTGACTGGAGTTGATTCTAAAACTTATGTTTCCTGAACCGTTAGAACTTTCTCTTTGCTGTCAATTCAGATTGTTCACAGATGGAAGGTATCATTTTTGTAAGTAATTGATTATACAAATTTGTGACAAAATGCATGCATCTATATTATTTTCATGTTCTGATTGGAGGATTGTTCAATTTCAGTTTTTTTTGAGAAAAAAATTGCTCCATTTTTCAGCTCATAATTGTTTAGTATCAATGAAATATAGATTTTCTTCTCAGCACTTTGTGTTATGTTTTAGCATGTATGGTTATCTGTTCAATGCATGTGGTTCTTTAGGATTCCGCCAGGAGCCAATGTGTTTGATAAATGGAGGAAAGCTATGAACAGTCATGCTGCTTCATCGTATCTTGATACATTCGTTAATCCTGTTTATCCTCCACTGCCTCATATCACCGAGGTTATTCATAAAAATATTATAGTAATTGTTGTTCATGCAAATAATATGAGCTATAGAAAATGGAAAACCGCCTGAAGTAAAGTACATTTTTTGAACTCTCTTTTATTCTCGCTTTAATTTTTTCAGTTTTCCTTTTAATGCATTCTCTTTGTCATTTTTCTCCATCCATCGCCTAGGTATATTATTAAAAATACTTCCTATTGTACCTGTAATGCTTCGAATATCTTATATCGTTGAATCTGCATTAGACTAAGGAAATTTCACTTCTTTTTTTTCTTTGAAAAAGGGATAATTGCAAATTTATATTAGTGTTGTGAGTCTGTTTTATCTGTGGTATGCTTTTTATTTCATACGAAAGAAAGGACCTAAGTACTGTATGTTTGTGTTAGATAAGAGAATAACTTCAACCATTCTTCCGTTTCGTTTTGAAAATTCTTCACTTTATTCACTTCACTTTATCAGTATTCTCAGATTGAATATATTAGTTTCTTCTCTTTCTTATGACGTCCTTCTTTATTGAGTTCTGCGAATGATGTGAACGAACTTTTTAAAGAAATTTTGTATTTCACTTCTATATTTTATGCCGTATGCACTTATATTGCAGAAAGTTGCTATTATCGAGCTCGGATCATGCTCAATGCGAGCTGGTGTATTGACAATGGAACCTTCGCTACCGCAATCGTTTTTTCCAACAGTAGTACTCGTTAAAGATGATGGTGAATTCATTGTTGGTGGTGATGCATTACTACCTGAGGTTTATTAGTTTTTTTGAAAGTTTTTGGGTTATATGATTTTATTCTTCTATGTGAAATGAAGCACTTTGAAGATGCTTTGAAATAATCAGCTGGAAATAATGATGCTTATTATACGCGAAGGATATTATACAAGAAAAAATTCCAAATTATAAATGCTTTTTTATATTCTGTAGCTCTAGAATTTCACTATAGTTCAAGTAGAATAATAAAATTTCAGAATCGTCGCAAAGGTGAGCTAATAAGGCCACTACGCGCGACAGATATTTCATTGCAGCGTTATGTATTTCACCGACCAGCTTTGAAAGCTTGCTTGCAGAAATGTGTCGATGATTTAAAGATCGATCCGACGAAGTATCGGGTAATTGCATCATTTCCCTAGTACCATATGAAAAAAGGTGCAATCTAAGATAAAAATGAATTGTCACAAACATTAGCAACTCAATTATAGTAGCATCTCTACATTTTGTCTCGTTTATGTACACTTATTGTTATTGAGTTTCGTTATTATTCTTGTCTTTGTTAACCGGTCTTTATTAGATCATGTCAACAAACACTTACGAAATTAAATTTTTAAGGTTTTGCTCTCAATTCCGCAAAATATTCCTACTGCTCTCATTTCGGATTTGTTAAAAATTGTTTTGGAAGAAATGTACTTCCAGGTTCGTTAAATGCCTTAAGTTTTCCACTCAATATTTATTTTCCACACCTTTGTTTTTCTTCACACTTTTGTGTACTTCTCTAGATTTTACCTCGATAGATTAAGTTCATTTTTCAGTAATTTTAAAAGTCATAAAATCCGTTTTGTTCAAGGGTGCAGCAGTATCACGTCAACCAAGCCTTGTATTATATGCCTACGACGTAGCTACTGGTGTTGTCGTTGATATCGGCGATTGTGTCAATATTGTGCCAGTAATCGACGGTATGTCTTAATCATAATGTTTTTTTGAGAACAGAATCACGTTATTCTTATTGCATATTAGTAATGGGTGTGACTCAGTCTATTGCGTATTAGTTTCTTATTTTAGGAATAAAATTACTTTTTACGTAGTAATTTGTATCCCTTAATAATGGATTGTTCTCTTTTTAAATGTTGTCACCCAGTTATAATGCGCAGTCATGTAGCACAAGGATCGGTATTTATACCGAGGAACCACTACTAGTTAGTTATTAAAAATAAAAAAGTAACACATTATGTGTTCGTATGGGTGTGCCATTGGCTAAGTTGAAAGATTATGGTTTTATTATTTAATAAAGTGAGTTTTCAAACTTAGTTTTAAGGTTTTACATAAGAAATGTTTAATATTCAGAATTGTGGACATCTCCATAGCTATAATTTTTGCACGAAAGATGTAATGGCACAATCAGTGAACAATATATTAATGAAAGTCGTGCTTATTTTCAGGTTATGTTGTCGATAGTGCGATTGTGTCATTGCCATGTGGTGCGACTCAAATTATTAATGCTTTGCAAGCAAAACTTATGGAATCTAACTGTGGTTACACTTTTCAATCGTCAGTTGAAATGCTCATTTCACGCTTTGTTATGGAGCAGGTATTTTATTCCTCGCTTTCCTTAATTTCATAAATGCTTAACTTATTTGCTACGTGTAAGTGTATGAATAGTTTTATGTTCAAGGCATGTTTTGTTGCTACCGACTATGAGGAAGAAGTAAAAAAATGTGCGAGTAACAGCTGCGATATAGATGCAGTTGTTTCGATTGAAGAATTTGAACCAACCAGTGAAATGATATCTTCCTTCAAGGTAAGTCATCATTATATGTTTCTGACTTGTGAATGGTCATTAGTTGATGATTTTGATCTCATATGCGAAGTGAAGCTTCATTTCAGATAAATTCTGCTCGCTTTACTGCAACTGAGGGTTTATTCAAACCGAAAAGGTGGGGTCTTGATACGAAAGCTCTCCATCAGCTGGTGTTTGAAGCCGTACAATCTTCGCCTATTGATAGTAGAAAAACCTTGTTCAGGTAAACTTATTCTTGTTCTTAAAACATCTTTTATCAACTTATACATATTAATCTGAAACTTCTGGTATCAGCTTTGACATTTCTATTAGGAATTTGCACTAATTTATCCTATTTTTGAGGAATATATATCTAGCTGGTGGCGTCTCTTTACTTCCTGGCTTAGCCGAAAGATTGGAAATAGAAGTGGCATCACTTGTAGCACCAATTATACATACGCAGGTAGTGCTTTTACACTTTGATAGCATAGTAAAAACGTTTGAATATCACATGTGATCTGTGCTTTCACAAGATCGAAAGCGGTAGCCAGTTGCAGTTGATGCTCTGTCATATGCTTGAATTTAAGATTTTTCCGTACTCGGGAAGGAAACTATGGAGATGACTTCTTCATTGACGAATATTGTTGATCACACGCATTGCTCACTTTTTTTATCTATTGTAATTAAAATATTCTATCAATCCTAACTTATTCCATTTACTAGAATGTGATCGTGTGACTTCTATGACTGAGTTCAGATCACTTTTTCTTCCATTGTCTTTGTTGCAGCATAGCAACTTTTCGTGTATTATTTTGCGATTTACTGTTTCATTCCTATTCTATCAAATTTAAACCATAGCATTACTACAAATAAAATTTTGTAGATTTTTTATCCGTTCGTATCTTTCAGGTTCATCTTTCACCGTGGAGGTACAACGCAGCATATCTGGGCGCACAGGTAATCGCATCGAGTACCCATTTTGATCAGACTTGTATTACACTTGAAAGTCTCAGTGATTTTCTTCATCAGTTACAGAATTCTACTTTTTAGTTGTGCTTTAAATAACCAGTCAAGATTTCTTGTAATTATCAAAAACGTGATTAATCATATTTTCAATATTCTGGATTAATCAGCTAATTAAGTTCCAACAACTTGTTGTATTTATACTACTTGATGCGTTATCGAAAATTTTATCACAATTATCATTTTGCAGTAACTACCACCTTAATTGTCATTCACTGCCTATTAATGTGATATCATCGCTTAGTGATCATTAGTAAATGCTTTGCTGTTGTTCTCCATTAAAGAGAATGTTATATGAAATGTGCTAAGCTGCCCTAACGGAAATTGAATTCACAAGGGATTAAGGTTTTTCATATGAAGAGAATTTGAATTCGCAAAATTGCACAATCAAAAAAGTCATCAGGATTCCGGAATAAGAAAAATAGCTTAGTGTGCAATGCATTAGCTAATTTCCTATAGCTATACGTTGTGTTTTTTCTGCTGTTTTTAGCTAAACCTGATGTGATCAAAATCACTTTAAAATGGCGTATTGTGAACTATTTCAATATGAATGATTGTTTTATGTTTTGGTTTTTATCACATTTGCAAAATAAAGCTTTCATTTCTATTTCTACCATTCTAGATCATTTTAGCTGTAAGCGTTGGACGGATTTTTGAAAATAATTCCGAGAAGGAAATTCCCGCCAGGACTCCATTAACGTACTACAAATTGTTTCGGAAGCGCGCGGTCTTTTGAATTTGCCCGCTTTTTCAAATAGAACGACGTCTTAATCTCAGACTGTAAGGAAACAGACTCAAAAGGCGAGATAAGAGTTACGCCGTCATTCTCCAATTTGGTTGCTGGAGCGTGCGCGTGGTCGATTCGTTTGTCGTTATAAACGAGATTACGTTATCTTCCGTTGCGTGATTAGTACCTGTAAGTGGTTGTATCAAGATGCCGACGAAAAAAACAGGTGCTCGAAAGAAGGCTGAAAAACAACGAGAAATCCAGAAAAAGATCCGGAATAATGTTATAAAAGAGGTTGCACGTCATACGTGCAATGTGTTGATGGCATGTGCTCATTTTATTCTGTTTTTTTTTTTCGATTACTTTTTTATTAAAAATTGGAGCATATTGTGCAATTAGCTCTCAATTAGAAAAAATATATCGAAACTTTTTTTATTTTCTTGTTTTCTGCCAATTTATATACGCAGCAAATTAGATCTAATAAAATAGCATGTTGCAAGCACAAGATTTCCGCAATTTTTTTATTATTTTTCAAATGATATCCGGTTTATTTTTATATTAGCTATCATAAATCTGTGCTTTTGGATCCGAAATGCATGAATTCCCAATGAACGATATTGAATCACGAATCAACTTTTTATAGTCCCAATTTTAATCATTAATAATTTAAGCTATATAATTTTTCAGCAATGCGATCGGTGTGGACACGAACAAAAAATTAGAGCATTTTGTTATTCTTGCAATGCAGTTAATAAAACACCAGCATGTACAGCTTGCGGAAAACAAAAATGTTTGGTGAAAAATGGAGATTGCATAAACAAACATCCCGGAAAATGTGTAACCGGTTTGCTTTTGATTTTTGCACATTAAATTATTCTTACGTTTGCTTTTATGCATATTAAATTATTGTTACGTTTGCTTTTTTGCATATCAAATCATTCCTGCGTTTGTTTTTTTGCATATTAAATTCCTGCGTTCGGTTTTTGTCATATTAAATTATTTTCGCTTTTAATTTTTGCATTTAAATTATTCGTGATAGAATTATTACAACAGTTGTGTTTATCTGAGGGATCATTTTAGACTTTGAACTTTCGAAGGGCTTTCTAATATAATATATAAAGATTACTAAAGTAGTTTATGAAATCTTAATGGATATAGACGTGAAAACACATGGAAAATTTGTAGCAAAGCTGATTCAGATTCATCCAAAAAAAAATCTTAAGTCGAAAAAATGCATCGTAATTATCCATACATATACTTTCACAAGTTCACTAATTGAGTAATTTATGATATTTGTGTAGATATGAGGATCGCCAAATCTTCTATGTTATCAGTCTTAATTATATCAAGAAATAAATGCATAGATGGTAGTGAAATATAAGAGGAAAATGAGATGTTTAGATATTTATATTCGGTTAATGTGATAGTAGGAAATAAGTGAAATGATTTATATCAATTATTGCATAATAAATAAGATCACATACTGCGAAAAGCAAATCGAATATTTAGGTTTGCAAATGATGAGTGGAATATGTTATTATTGTGAAGCATTCATTTGCCACAGTAAGAAATGTCTTTCAACTCATCCATGTAAATGTTTATTGCGTGATGCCCGGTGTACGGAATGCAAACGAGGTGTAGAAGAGCAAGGTCACTTTTACCACTTTGGAAGACTTTGTCCTGGATAATTGTAATATATGTTTCTGAGAATGAGTTAGAAAGAAAAGAATGATGAAGTGACATAAAATGAAATTTATGCTTGACATTTCAATTTTCCTTCCTTCTTCATTTTGTTCTTTAGCTTTGATGAATTTAAGGTGGACGAATGTTTCAATGTGCTTTTTGTGACGTCTTTGTGTGTGAAGATGATCAATTTGAACATCAGTCCAGCTGTCAACGTGTTGAGAGTGAAAATTTAAAATGTCGGTATACAGAACTTCCTAAATTTTACTATTAATAACAGATTTATTAAGAAATTTGATTGATTGTTATTTAAATGAAATTTTCACAGTAAAAAAATATGAAATTTTAAAGGGAAATTCACGAAATTCTAATCAAATAGAGAGATACTTTTTAGGTATGTCATGCAATCGTTTTGGCATGTATACATGTTTGCGATGTAAAATTTGCTGCTGTGATGATCATGTTCGCAAAAAAGGTTTTAAATATAATCGACATTTGAAAGATTTACCATGTCCAAAATGTGGCAAGCCAATTAGCGAAACAAAACTCTGCAGTGTTTCAGGTAAAATCTACCTGCGTTCCACATTATTACAGATGATTCACATCATCTTTGTCAACATTAGCTAAATAAAACTTTCTTTTACAGCTCGAAAACATGCTTACGGACGTCAGGCTCGTGCAGCTCATAACAATGATGGCGAGAAGGCAGGAAATTCCAATAGGTAGGATAAATTCAGCAATAGAAGTAATGTTCACTTTGGTCATGATGTCTATATATTCATTGCAGATACAATAAAGGCGATGAGTTCAAAGATGTTAATTACAATGAAGCATCTGATGAGGACGAAGATAGTGATGATGCTGATGATGATGGCGAAGATGAGGACGTTAAGGATGATAGCAAAGATAGCGATAATGCTGATGATGATGGCAAAGATGAGGACGTTAAGGATGATAACAAAGATAGTGATGATACTAATGATGATGGCAAAGATGAGGACGTTAAGGATGATAACAAAGATACTGATGGCGCTGATGATGATGGCAAAGATGAGAACGTCAAACAGGATAACAATGATGACGCTGATAATGATGGCAAAGGTGAGGACTTTAAGCATGATAACAAAGATAATGATGACGCTGGCAAGGATGAGGACGTCAAGCAGGATAACGATGATGGTGATGATGCTGAT